CAACACTTCATTGTTTGTGGGACATTGCTATGTGAAAATTGGCTGCCACATTTGCCAACAAAATAAAGTGACTGTATATCACAGTGAACCCTGTGAAGTGTTGTAACATTTCCTCTTCCCAACGTGAAAGGCGCAATATCAATGTAAGGATTATCATTATTAACTTTCTAAGTTTGAATTTGGGTAGCTAGTCAATTACCTTAATGTTCAAGAGGATTTCCCCTGTAATATGGCATTATTGATTGAGATCACTGTCATGATACAATATCAACGGAATAATGAAACCCATGAAGCACTCACTATACTGTGAAGCACTCACTATACTGGTATACTGTGAAGCACTCACTATAACCAAGTGACTTTGAATGAACTGACAGCTTTGATGACCTCTTGCTGATTTGGTCCGACTTTGAACTAAAGTTTCCTGAGGTGAAACCACAAAACTTTAAACAAACCTGCAGAGACCCAGCTAGATTTCCTTCAGTGCTGTTTTTTTTAGTTTCCTTTAAGATGCAGCATACATGAGAATGCTAACATGTCCCTGCAAGGAGGAGTGCTTTCAACATCACAGACCTACAATGGATTTGTGTTTACGCTGTTAACGTTTGCAAAGGGGCCATTCTAGATCTTGTACCTATTTACAACAGCTGTTACACTGTGTGGTATTGTTGGTTTTGGTCAACCAAGTGTTAAACACATGCAGAAACCTATTATCATGCTTAAGATTAACATAACATGTAGGAGCAGGAGTAGGCCATTCGGCCCTTCGAGCCTGCCCTGCCATTCAATCATGACTGATCTTTTAATCTAACTCCAGCTAATAACCTAACCCTGCCTTATCCCCATATCCCTTAATCCCTTTTGCAATAAGAAATATATCTATCTCAGTCTTGATTATGTTCAAGGAGTGAGCGTCAACAGCCCTTTGGGGTAGCGAGTTCCATACATTCACCACCCTTTGAGTGAAGAAGTTCTTCCTCAACTCAGTGCGAAAGGGCTGGCCTCTGATTTTAAGATTGTGACCCCTGGTTTTAGTTTCTCCAACCAGGGGAAACAATCTCCCACTATCTACTCTATCATGCCCTTTAAGATCCCCTCTAATTCTTCTATATTCTAGAGAATAAAGGCCCAAATTGGTCAGCCTATCCTTGTAATTCATCCCCTTCATCCCTGGTAAATCTAGCTGCACCCCTCCAAGGCAAGTACATCCTTGCCAGACAACAACAACTTGTATTTGTAGAGCGTTCTTCACACGGGGCAGAGTCTGAACAATGGTGTAATTTGATGCTGAGCCCGGCAGAAAGGGAAGATGACCGTCAATATAGTCAAAAAGAAAAGTCTTCAGATGCAATCTAAAGATAGGCAAAGAGTGGCAAGGGAGGAGGGATTGAGCCAGGGAGTATAATTACAATTGTGCTGTACAAGGAGCGTAAGGCCTGAGACTGTAAGAGCACCCCTTAACAGCATAAGCACATAAAGAATTAAGTGTGCAGTCCCAGGTCTGCTTGATTTTTCATCTTATATGGCCAGTCCCCCTTGCACAGTAGTAATGGATCAGAGCCTGCACTCAAATACATGCTTTTGCGGACTTGGATCCTCATCACAAGGGCAACCACTCACTAAACAATGCATTCAGTAAACTCCGCTGGACACAGAATGTGGTTGTGCTAAGCTTCGCATGCAAAACAAATTCTCCGTTGCTCTTTACTCTCCATTGCTCTTTACTGTAGAACGATTGGAATTTCAACCCTAGAAATATAACATTAACCAGATTCTCACTAGATTTTATTTTTACCAGTAGTTTTAAGGAAATGACTGGGGTTGTTTTTGGCCTCACATATGAATGGTCTTTGGCGACATTTAAAGGAGTACTGCTCTGGAACGGTAGTTGGGAAGCTTTCCGTTGTAGTGGTATTTGATGGTACCAGAAACCTGATGCTATGCAAATACGCATCTAATAATAATCCTTGCATTTGATATCCAAGCTGGTGGGTGGTGTATAAATATGAAGCCCAACAGAAGAATTTCTATTAAGGGCACATGGCTTGTTGGTAGAAAGTCACATAATGAAAAATCTCATAACCCCGTCATAAACCTGGGGGGAGGGAGCAGTGGGGAGAAATAGAGTCAAGTGACATCGAGCAACATCTCAGCTGGCGGCACAAGAGGGACCAACAACAAATTGCATTTATATAGTGCCTTTCATTCTGGGATGACGTCCCAAGGCACTGGACAGTCGAGCAAACACTTCCTAGAAGTTCAGGATCATTTGAAATAGGAAATTGGAGTAAATTGTGCTTTATCTTTCCATATCACAGAAACATTAGCTGTAGGTTTAAGTCCCACGTTAGGACTTTGAACTCACATAGTCTAGGCAATACAATACCGGATGTGTGCTGCATTTTTGAGAGGTGTCAAACTTTGGCTGAGGTGTTAAACCAAGGGTGTGTCTGCCCATTCAGGTGGACGTTAAAGATCCTATGGCGCTGCTCGAAAAGAGATGCAATTAGTTCCGGTATCCTGGCCAACAATTCCTCAAATGAAAACTGGTCATTCACTTCATGGATGTTTGTGGGACATTGCTGTGCACAAATTGTCTGCAGCATTCACTTCCAAAACAAGAGCCACTACATTTTACAATCCTTTGAGATGTCCTCCTGATGCGAAAGGAGCTATATCAATTGTAAGGCTTGTTATCTCCAGGCTTGTTGCCCAGTGTGCATGTGGTGTACACAGGCATTGGCTCGGTTGCTGATGTCCTTCAATACTGTTTAAATTGGATCATGTGACCAGATACTTATCCGCACAAAACTCCGTATATCTATCAAACCAGACCTAGCCAGGCTCCACTGGTTCCCAATTACCAAACTGATTGATTTCCGATCCTCTCACTTGTTTTCAAATCTCTTCATTCCATCGCACCTCCTTACCTATCCGATCTGGTTACCCCTAACTCCACCACCCGCTGCATCCAATCGGCTGGCTCTAACCTCCTGTCCGTCTCTCATCCCCTCTGCTCCACCATCGGTAGCCGCGCCTTCAGCCACTACACCCCGAAACTCTGGAACTCTCTCCCTCAATCCCTCCACATTGCCCCCTCCCTCCCCACTTTCAAATCCCACCTGAAGACCTTCCTTTTTCATCGTGTTTACTGTCACCTCCCCCCTCCCTCTCCCCTGGCTCAGGATCAGCCCACCAGGATCACCCCAAGTGAATTCAAGATCCTCAATTTGAGACTTCTTAAAAAATTGTGAAGAGACTCGACAGCAACTTTGGGCACCCAAATACATCTGAATGTACTCAAATCAGCAGTTGCGGTCCACTCAGTGGGGTATAAACAAGAAGTTGTCGATTTGAGGAATTCTTCAGCTGCTAGATCCAAACATGTTTCTCTAAGAACAACCAATCAAGATCAACAATCAGGTGGAAAATACAGTCAATCCACTTTACAGTATATCCTGTGAAACACTTTGAGACGTCTCGATGAGATAAGACGCAATATCAAATGCAAGGATTATTATCTTTAAACAAGGTCAGACCTAAAAATAAGCTATGAGCAGGGTTTCAATTACTTGTCAAATAAAGAGAATTACGTTGAACAAAGGGTCATTTGAAATGAGCAGCATATTTAGGCACATAAGCACACTAGCTGCACTGATAAATAATTTGGAATCACGAAAAAACACATATTAATGGTGCGAGAAATCAGTTTTATTAAAATATCTAATGGTACATTATTAAATTAAATAATGACTCTTTATTGACGGCACAATTAAGAAATGCACTTTAGAGTAAGCAACAGGGTCTACTTTACAATGTGCACATAAACCATCAGTTTTCAAGACGTTTCTACAGAAAATAATGCATCTCCAGGAAAGACAACAAGACTGTGATCAAATGAAGTTAATCAAATGACATACCATAGCAGCAATGCTCAGGCAGTTTACAAGTCAGCTGAACCCAAAGGTTAGGTTATACCTGATCATGTTATTTACAATAGATAAGTGTTTTGGTTTGGTGAGGGACTTTTACTCTGGTTTGGCAAATTTGTATCAGCTGTCAGTGTACACACTTCCCCACTGATATCTAATATCCCCAGTAAACTAATCACTCCCACAGGTCCAGCAAGATGCAGGATACAGTTCATCAGGAAGTTCTATGCTCAGTATACACCACAACATATATCCAAAAGGGTTATTGCCATGTGCAAAGGTACAGTATCAAGACAATTTAAACACATGTTATAATAATTGCGAAATATAAAGGACAATTCACAATCATTAAAAAAAGTTCCACTATAATAATTTGCAAAAAAAGGCATTTTACATTAAAAGCCATCAGTTCAGCATTTGCTTGTACAGAGGGGGGGGGGGGGGGAGGGTCAAAGACAACTCAGATTCTGTTTAAAAACACTTTCCTGGATATTTATAAAGAATAATTAAAAAAGTTAAGTTAGTTGCAAGTCTCAAGTAACATTTAGGCTGTCAATCAATAGACTCCATCTCAATTTTCAGTTTGCAAAATCAGTTGTACTTCATCTCACTGAATTTATGGCATAAATAAAGTATTCCACGGTTACATTTTCTGCAGTGTGTTATACTCAAATTCTTCACAATTAAAGTTCATTCTTTGGGTTACTTACATTTCTAAAGAGTCCAGCATTCATTTCTTTGAAAATCAGAATGTAATCCACAGTGATTTTTCTCCAGTCAATTTTTAAAATTTAATTGGACAACTAAGGCGCCATAGTAAGCTCCATTCAAACATAAAATTGGATTTTAATAATTTCTAAATAGTCCACATGCTACATTGCAATTATTCAACCCTTAACTACAGCTCAATCTAGAAAAAAATATTAATGATAAATTGGTCCCTTCAATCCACGACTGTTTGTGGGACACTCCTGTGAGCAATTGGCTGCTGCGTTTCGTCCACATAATATACAGTCAATTCACTTTACAGTATATTCTGTGAAGCGCTTTGAGATGTCTTGAAGATGTGATAAGGCGCTACATCAAATGCAAGGATTACTATTATTATTATGACTCTGATAAACCTGAAATAAGTCCCAGCGGAACAAGCAAAAACATGTCAAAAGTACAGTATAATACAAATCAGATAGAAAGAAATTTAGTACAGATTGGAAACACATGCCTTTGGAAACAATTCCAATAGATATAGATTGTAATTATACAAAAAAAAGTTTGTAAACTGTAAGCACTTCATATCATTCACAAACCATTACTGCTTTGTGACTTAAGTCTGTTCTGCAGTGTACCTACCAAAATATGATCAAGGCAAACCTAGATCTTGTACACTGCTGATTATGTGTTGTACTGCTATGTATTTTGCCTATAATGAAAAGTACTAAACATTTGTACTGCTGTACCTTCAATTGAAATTTTGTTGATGATGGTACTCATGTAACTTTTGTAACCTTGCTAGAAGATGCTGTGTTCTCCTTTATCTAATGCCCTTGCTTTTGTCTAGTGCAGTTATGTGGAAAAGGTATTTGCCACCAGATGGTTTTGGTATGCAGAAGCCAAAGAAAGTGTTCAAATGTAGTAAACAAGTCAGATATGAATGTAGCTGCTGTTTTGACAAGAGAGCAGACTCGAGAAGATATAGTGCAGAAGCCACGTTCTACCTGTTCTTCGGATTAAGTAACAATGCCTTTTCCGTACCTCTGCATTGCTGATAATAAATTGTTAATATTTGGTCTCTGTGAGCTTGATTATCTGGTGTCCAAAACCATTAGGCTCAATCTTTAGATTCAACAATTTCAGATCTCTGGCATAATTATGTGAATCCAGCAAGTGAGAGCAGGAAAAGATTCACTCAGAGACTCATTATGTGGCTGGATCCAAAGTAATTCCATGTGAAAATATTCAGTTATACCCTGGAGATTTAACAGAACGCTACAGAACAGCACATTTTATATTAAATATAGTGTAGAAAAGGCCATTTATAATGCAACTGTGAGAAAAGCAATTAACATTGGATATTGTTGGTACTACATATTTTTATCCTCATTTCGATGTAACAGCAACATTAAAACAAATTGCACCTTCAGCCTGCAGATAAAACAAATCATAGATGTGCCATAAAATGTCTAACAGTTTGTCTTGTGCAATGAAACAATGCATTTAATTCATGGTGATTAAGGATATATATTTTTAATTTTACTTTCTTGTGAATGTTCTAAATGCCGAGTGGGAGTGATCGCTACATGCTTTTGCTCAAGTGAGCTTCCAGTTATCTATCTCCATTCTACTTGTGCTCTGGCAGTCTTGTAAACTAATTGAATCGGCATATATGACACTAACAGAGTTTTCCGCCATATTGTTATGGTACTTTTGGCCATATAACGTTAGCAGGATGGACCACTCCAGGCAGATAAATCAGCATTTCTTCGGTGGGAGGGGAAATGAAGTGATACTGTGTAACATACTCAATTTCATATAAGTGCGTGAACTTGCAGAGAACTGAATCAATAGTAAAGTAAATGTAGGGTGGAAAAGGGTCAAACTGAGGTGAAACTGCCTGGAAATCAGTCACATTGATTGGCCTCTGTTACTCTCATTTTGTCTCTTGCACGATTCAATTATGGCATGTGCAAGCAGATGACACAACAAGTGTCATTGTTTCGGTTACGCAACATTTGCTTATGGTAAGCTAATGCAGAGGGGGGCGGGGGAAGAGAGGTGGCTAAATACCTGTGCACCTCTCTTGGGAACAGAATGTCCAGCGTTCCATTCCTGTAGGTTCATTCAGCTCTTTACCCTCACAATGTGGATAAAATGTCCACACATTATATTTGGTGGGTAGGGAGGCAAAGGGTAAAGGAGTTAGGCATGATTCGCTCAGAGCTGAACTGGCAGATTTGCAGTCACCCTAAGTGGATGTGCAGGTGCAGACAAGTTCTTAACTGTGCGAGCCAAAGCCTAAAGGTTAGGGCATTCCTTTCCCAGCTCGACAAGTACCATGCTAATAATACATTAGTTGTTCTCAATTTCTCGCTGCTCAAATTTATCACTAAAGTAAACGTTATGGGTTAACCTGCTGTACAATGTATTGCAGAAAGCCTCTCCTCGGTCTTGCATCTACCCTCGCATTTCCGTACATGGCAGATGGTCCATGGCAATGAGAACTTTTCGTACTTGAGATGCCTGTTATTGGTCCTAATCTTATACACGATATTTTACAGCTTGTAACTAAAGTGCATATTATAGCAACACAAGGCCACTCCTGGGGCTGCTCCCCATTGTAAAGGTTGGGGAGAACATAGGCTGAACAAACAACTGCAGACTTTTAGAGCTTAAACACAATTGGCAAAGCACTCAGTTGTTGAACGTTAAAAAGGCAAATTAAACAGGAACGAGAAAGGTGACATTTCAATAATTTACCCACAGGAGACACCTCAGCCTCTGCCCAGCATTTGGAAATATGTTAATAAATGGGAGATTCTCAGGCAAAACAGCCCTGGCAGCACTGAAACAGTGTTGAGGTAGCACTGACACAGTGCTTTCTCTCCAGAGATGGTCAATTCCTGGGTCCACTTTTATTTTGCGTTCGGCTGATCACAGCACAGCAAATAAAAACGATCACGGCTACAGCACGTTACTGCTCCTATTGAGCAATTTCAACATGGAAATTACTCGAACTAACTTATTCGGAAGTCAGTAGCTCAAGAGAAAGGAGCAGAAATGAATCAGACATCGCACTGGTGGAACAGAGAGGAATGTTACAGGCTACCTTTTTCACAGTCCGGTTTCACACAGCTCAGAACACTGGCAGAGGGTTTGGTTCGTGAGTATATTATTGACGATTTAAAGTGGACTCCCTTTGTGACTGTCTTTCTCTCCAGCCACTAGTCTGTGTACGTACACTGATGATTTACAGTGTGTCACCCCCATTCTGTTGGCTGTGTTAGTCATCAGTACCATACCATTGACAAGTTTCCTGTAAAGTCCATGGTGTGAAGCTATACTTACCAATGGCTCTACTGACCTCAACTGGTAATGGCTGACAAGCTTACAGCTCCCTGACTCTATGCCAACCATTCCTTTCACACAACATTTACCCCACTCATCAATGCTGAAGTCCTCTTATTACAGAAGGTCAGGCTGGTTCCGTTTGAGTGACCTTCTTTAATCAATGAAGTCTTCAGCTCGATCTGGCAAGCCAAGATGGCTGCATCCAGCTCAGTGTGAGCCCTGTGTACAACGTAAAACATCAGTCCAACGCTGATGCAAATCTGGAACCAGAAGAGAGCAAGCAAATTAAAGGCACATTTTAACTTGCATCTCACATAGAATACAGGTACATTGGCTTTCATATACTGAAATTTTATAAACACCATACAATTGGATCCACACAAACACATGTGTGGAGAAATTTCACCTGGGTCTAGATTTATTTTCTTTATGCAGCATTTTAGAACATCCAGAATTTGGCAAATTGTTGAATTCAGTCTTAACTCTGAAGTCTGTTTTCTGTAGTTTTGTTTTTAAAAAAACTTACAGAAAATTTGATTTGAAATTAAGGTTGTATTTAAGAATTTGCCCAATTCTAGACGACTTGAAACACTACATAAATAGATTAAATCTAGACTAAGGCGGAATTTCTCCACTGTGGTATGTCAACAATGGAAACCTTTTAAAGAGTATTGCATTATTGTATTTTAATAGCTTTCTGGAACACAATCTAACTAGTCGGGAATGCACACTGCATAATATTGTGCAGATATAGTGAGCTTTCCTTTTTCTGATCCTGACTGGAATATAAAATCAAATGAAATAACAAATTACACTCTCTCTTAGCAAATTTCCAGCAGACTGTTGATCTGGTCCTACCTGGAGGCTAAATATAAAATAGCCACTGACACTCTGTTCAGCAATAACATCTTCCATTGTGCGCAGGGTAGTCCCTAGGTACGAATTCAGAAGCTGAGTGGGAAGAAGTCCAACAGAAGATGCAACAAGGTAGTTCGGCAGAGATAAATCTGTGATCTGCATTGGTACAAAAATGACATGTTAAATCAGAAGACTAAAATATTTTTTTAGAAATAGATAATTCACCAAATTGCATTTATATAGCACCCCTCACGCAGAGTAGCATCCCGGAGCGCTTCCAGCGAATAAGTTGCTAATGGATAAGGGTGAGGGGGGGGCTCTTGAAAATATTCCCCATTAACTCAGAGAATTTTGCTGAGAAACTTGACTTGTACAGGACTTAACCACAACCACCTCAATAGATATTAAAACAGTATTTTCATGGAGCACAGAAACACATGTACACGGAGCTCAATACTGAGAAATACAAGATACAAGTACAAACTCGAATCTGATCATTTTAGGTGGGGCATCTTTCAGGAACTTAAATTAGCTGATAATGCACCAGTGATGTGAGGCACCGAGCCGTAAGAGCCAGGGTTAAGAAATCAGCACCATCGCCTGAATCAGAAGGTTGTAGGTTCGACCCGCCCTATTTCTGTGTAATCCCCCAACAAAGAGCAATCACTTTCCGACTAACAAGTGCTCAGACCCAGATTGCGGTAAGAAATGCTTCTGGCCCAGCTGATTTCACTCTACCAGAATCCGAACCTTAACTTCATCTCACTGCAACAACAACAACTTGCACTTATATAGCGCCCTCCACGCAGGGTAGCGTCTCAAAGTGTTTAACAGTGGCGGAGCCTGACTCTGAGCTGGGTTGGGTGGTGGGGGGAGGTGGCCGTAAGCATTGTCGAAAAGGAAGGTTTTCAGGCGGGACTTGTGGAGTCCTGTAGCTCAGTGGTTAGAGCACTCGCTTTGCAAGCGAAAGACCTGAGTTCAATTCCAGGCAGAGGGCGAAACCTTGGGCAAGTTTCCTTACTCCACACAGAGCCTAATAATAATCCCTCCAAAACCAAATACAATAATAAATTGGTCATTTTCAATCTACGACTGTTTGTGGGACATTGCTGTGCGCAATTGGCTGTCGCGTTCGCCCACAAATATACAGTCAATTCACTTTACAGTATATTCTGTGAAGCGCTTTGGGACGTCTAAAAGACGTGAAAAGTGCTATATCAAATGCAAGGATTATTATTATTATAAAAAGGGGAGAGGGGGGGCAAGGCGGAGAGATTGAGGGAGCCAGTCAAGCGGAGGCACCCGGTGGTGGATTGGGGCGTGAGAAGGTCAAGAGAGATAGGGAGGTGCCAGAGAGTGAATGGATTTGAACATGAGTGTGAGGATCGTGAAGTCAATCCGTTCAGTGATGGGGAGTCAATGAAGCCTGGCCAGAACTGGTGAGATGTGGGTACGGAGTTTGATTCCGAGTCAGTATGCGGGCACAGAGTTCTGAATGAGCTAGATCTGTTGAATAGAGGAACTGGGGAGACCAGTGAGGAGTGAGTTTGAGTAATCCAGGTGGGTGGTGACAAACACATGCACGCGGGTTTCTGCTGCATTTGGGGTAAGGTACGGTCGGAGGCGGGCAATGTGGAGGAGAAACCATTTGCCGAGATGAAATGGAGGCAGTTGGTTAAGTAGATCCCACAAGTGCGGTCCCACTAAGGTGGAAGAGGGAGGAGGAGTGTTGGAGGAGGATAGCGTGGTCGACTGTGTCGAACTCAGCAAAGAGATCCAGGAGGACGAGGAGGCAGAGGGAGCCCTGGTCCTAGATAGAGAGGACATTGTTTGTGACTTTGACAAGCGCTGTCTCTGTGCTGTGGGCAGGGCGAAAACCAGACCCCAGGGGCTCGAGGAGGGAGTGGAGGGAGAGATGTGACCAAAGAGGCGCAACAATGCATTCCAGGCCTTTGGCAAGGAAGAGTAGGTTGGAAATGGAACGGTAATGTTAGAGATTAGAGGGATCGAGAGGTGTTTTTTGAGGAGGCGTGTGATAACAGCAATTTTCAGAGAGTGGAACTGCCTGAGGAGAGAGACTGGTTGTTTTCAATCTTGGATTGAAAACGTCTTGAATTCAATCTAGGATTCTTCACACTTGGCGTTTGATGTGAGGATAGAGGGGGCTTGAGGGGATGCAGGGAGGAGGTGATGGATGGTGGAAAAGAGCGTCTTTGGATTGTTGGTTGCTTCCAGGATGACTTTGGAGTAAAAGGGAGAGGTGTGGAGGTGCTCGAGTCAGAGCTGGCGCTGAATCGTGAGGGGAGATTTCTGCCATCTGCTCTTGAGCATCCAGGTTTGTGTTTTGAGTGAGCAGAGATGACTGTTGTACCAGGGGGAGCAGGTGGGTTTCCCTAGCTCCACTGGATTTCAGGGGAATTGAAGGTTGTAGAGAGACAGTCATTCAACAGCTTGATGGCTACATCAGGATCCCTGCGGGTGGAGGGTCAGAGGGAGAGGCGGTCCGAGGAAGAGAAGTCATTTGTGAGGGACAACACTACAACACTAACCATTTCTTTAGTCTAGTCAGCTGGTCTCAGCCATCTTTCTTGGCAACTCATTCTAGCCATCAATATGTGTAAATAGATATATCCTTTCCGTGTACGGAGTCAGTCTTAAAATTGCCTCTCATAGCCCTGAACCAGCTCTGACTTGTCCTGATGCTTTGACATTGCTACAGTATTGTTGTCTGCTTATGATCTCATTTCATACAATTCACTTCAGTTCCCACATACTAAGTCACACTCATTCACAGCAGTTACCTATGAAACATTCTGAGACGTTTCGACTTTAAGAGTGTAATATCAAATGCAAAGATTATTTTAATGTTATTGTGGTGTGTTCAGTGCTGCAAACTAAACTATCTTACAGCAGAAAATAGGAATATTTAAAAAAAACTTGTGCAAACTTGTACATAGTACTTATACAAAGCCCACCTCATTCCTCAATGCAGCACACAGATAGTTGTCAAGATGTGGAAAGGTCTGCTTGACGGATTAAGGAGATATTAAAAGCGTTATGGTGAAAGGACAGGACATTGCGATAAAATGTTCAGCAAAGACCTAACAAACTGACAGAACAAGCTCAATGGGTTTATCTATGTTCTATGTTCCTCTCACATCCTTTCACATAGGAAAACATCTCAAAAGTGCTTCCAAGATCAGAGAGACGGAGCAGAAACACTTGCCACGTGGGAAGTAGGTGGAGCAGGGGTTTAGAGGAAGGAGAGTAAAGAAATAGGTTTCTAAAGAGGATTTGGAAAGCAGAGAGGAAGAATCCAGGCAGTGCAGTTTGCCATTGTTCACTGTGAACCGAGCGATTCAATTCTGCAGGGCCAAACCTGCACGGCTTCACATCATTTTTGCCACTGAGAAGAATTCAATGCGAAACAGAGGTGGTTGCTTAAAAAACAAACTGCTTTGGGCGACTCCCATTTGCAACACTTCAGCTAATTTGGAGCAGCTGCTAATAAGATGTAAGCAGTCACTGCTGCGCTTGGTATAAACTGAATTTGCAGCACACTGCTCAGTTCACAGGAATACCCCGAGTCCATTGCATGGATCACACTCTGATAACTTTTTAGCAGTGCTAAAAAGTGCAAGCTTATAATACCATTTTGGCATGAACCTAAGCAGAATCTCCTTAGTATTGTATGTAGCTTGATATTAAGCAGTGGTTTTACTAACTGTCATTGTTAAGAGCTCGATTCCTTTCCTACAAAAACGGGGGATGGTTCTCTAGAAGAAATAAAGTCTTGTGGTTTCAATCATTATTTTGGCCTCAAATCTTCACCAGCAAAAGTACACAAATATTTAAACTGCGTTTGTGCTCTCCAGAGTGAAGTCAGTGTTTCCCCCCCAGTAGTTATGGCAACATAAGAGCAAGAAATCAAGCTTAAAATCAGGGGAACAGGATCCAAGAGTGGCACCAACCTGTCTGAACACAGAGCAACTAAATCAGTGTGTTGTTTTAACATATGGTTCTTCCAATAGCATCAGAAACTGCTCATTTAAACTTCCTTTGAATAGAGCATGGAGGGGGAGAAGGAGTCAGAGTCCTTGCACTACTGATGGAGTTTCTCTGTGTAAAGCAATAACATACTTCTTGTTCAGCGCCAGTCTTAACAGTGCCTTTCATATCCCCAAACCTCTTCCCTCTTTCCCTGCTGTCTTGGCACAACTGAAATCATTGTTTTAGATTTTTTTTCTCTCCCATTTCATCCAGTTGGACGTCTGCAGATTAAGCATTCTGAGACCCTACCCCACATGAAGGGACCCATATAAATGCAAGTTATTACTGTTGCTGTAGTTGATCAATTGAATTCTGCTAAAAATACAGAGCTCCATTTACCATCCCTCCAAGCAGTGTCGGGAATAGGGCTGCAACATGATCTCACACTGTCCAAGCCTGTTTATACTGTACCCTTAGTGACAAAGTTCATGTCACAAAAATGACGACTTGTTGGCTTAAACAAGGCACATTAGCAAGATCAAAACCACATTACAGTGCCATTATTCTAATGACACCACCAGATATTCAATGCCACTGGGTTAAACGGGGAACTGCAGTTTCTCTCTCCAGCAGCTTCCTGTTTTTCTAATACTGCATAGAGACGAACGTAACACAATGGTAATCACTGCACTGCCCTTATACTTTCCGGAAAACAGGATGTGTCCCTCCAGGGAGAGAGTGCGCATTCCATTCCAACAATCTATCTCTGGCATTTCCATGTGTGGGTGGGATGCAGGGAAATCTCAGCTTGGTTTTGATACTCTTCAGCATGGTGATGGGTAACATCCAAATGATAGAACTGGCTATAGCCGAATAGAAGATCTATTGCCCCTGAGTGTTCGATTTAAGGAGATTTTCTATGGGGTTGAGATCGCATGCTGCTTGCTTAAAATCCACTATTATGGTTACATTGCAAGTCTTATACTAAATATATAAACATTTACATATACCTTAGCTCAAATTTACATACCCACTGTTCTAACTTTAACTATTTTGCTATCAGCAGCAACATATCAGGAACAGTATGTCAGTGTCTTGCAGCATACCAGAAGATTCACGTCAAAACAATAATAATCCTTGCATTTGAAATAACGCCCTATCGTGTT